GCATATATGTTCTCTAACTATATTCCGTACACTACATAGGAAATTAATAACTTAACTTACTGTCTGCCATGCACGGCTATCAACTTCACTGAGGATAGAATTCTCGGTGGACATTTTAAAGAGCCGTGCAAATGAATGTTTTGACAGCTTCCCTGAATATCTCCAAGTCATGATTAAGGACTTAGGCAGAATGTAACTTAGATGGTTAATACGAGAAATAACTTTACTATGCATTCTTATACAAAAGTGTTTCCCAGATTGTATACATGCTCAAATACAATTGTGTAAAAGTTAAACTATGGAACAAAATCATTGGTTGTTTTCATGTACAACCCTTAGATAAAGTCATGACATTAGCCCATACACTATATTAGTCGTAAAAAGTAATCGGCAGCATGCAGTTCTAGATATCTCGATGTCAACGAGGGTTGAAACGACAACGGAAACATAATTGCACGATCGAGCTATATATTGCCAGAAAAAGAAATAGGCAACACTTCCTAAAAAAATTAAAAATAGCATATAACCATGCATGATGACCGATCAATGATTTAACTCCCTCCTATAAAAGAGGGAATAGCTGCCACCATTCCACACACAACATGTACTCCCTCCTAAAGTATGTACTCTAGCTTAAAGTATGTACTCTAGCTTAAAGTATGTACTCCCTCCTAAAGTATGTACACAACATGTACTTTGGGTCTAGAGGCGACATCACTAACGGTTTGGGAGGCGACATCACTAACATGTACTCTAGCTGCCACCATTCCTCAAAAAATTAAAAATAGCATATAACCATGCATGATGCCGATTGGGAGTGCCGTTGCGTGCTCCCCATCGCCCGGCTTCCCTTGTTAGGAAGGACAGAGAGTCACTTGTGAGATCACACACAAGACAGCAGCTCTAAAAGTGTTTTGCCTTTCTCCTCCCAATCGGCCGACGGCGCGCTTGAGGAGGACGGCGAAGCTAGGACCTTCCATTCGGAGGAGCAAAGCTATTCGAGGTGAGCATCCCCAATTCTTGATTTTTGATGCTGGGGTTTTCTGGTCTCGCTTCTCTTGAGGGTTTTGTGCTAGAGCTATGCTCTACCGTCACGGTGGCACCGGCGCCGGATGTGCTACTATCGCTGGAGACGGAACCTCAAGTCCTCGACCATTTGGGTAGGGGCTAATGCGGCAAGTCGTGAGGGGTCAGTGCTTAGCGAACGGCGTCGCCGCGACAAGAACAGATTTTATGTTTATTTTTGGACAGTAGAAAGGAGGGTTTTGGGGGGGGGTTATGATGCGACACGATTGAACTCATTAATTGGTCTGGAACGTGTTTGGTCGTCTAGATTTGGAATCAAACATTCAATTCCGAATGCCCCATCTCTCTATTAGCGCAGATTCCCTAGAAATCGAGCTCGCCGCCTCACTCCCTCTCCCCTTTCGCCCCGACCGTCTCGACCCTTATGCCGCACTTGTGCTCCTTCGCTGGACGACGAGGTCCTCCTCAGTGTCGACGAGATCGATGAGCCCCTCCCCTCCACCCCCCTTCTTAATGCCTCGTCGGCGACTCCACCATGTCTTGCACGGACATAGGACTTAAGCCCGCTGCGCCGTCGCGCGCGGCGCGTTCAGGACGCCCCCACGAATCACATCCAATCGTTCTTCTCTGTGATGTAGTTGTTTGCAAATTGCAATTCAAATTATTTCTTGCTTGATTGTGCTATGGCGAATTGAATTTTTATTTCAATTCCAGCTTGTATTTTCCATGGTTTGATTGATGCCATTTTTTGGTTTCTTCAGATGGATATCATGACTCTGAGGGTCACTGCACTTAATGACAAGTTTCTGAGGTTGCTATTCCAACTTGTCCCTTCAGCACTGCAAAACGAACTATCTTCATTGGCTTTGGTAAACTGTACACCAAAGATTATTTTTTTGAAACGTTACACCAAAGATTATGAAAATGAAGAAAATAAGCTATAAAGATTATAGGAGACAAAGATTGCATTTCTTATCGGTGGAATTTCTTTTTTGTTATGTCCTTCAGGTTAGGAGGATTGCTAATTATCTGGACTCCAATGGCCAATGGCAACTTCACCTTGAGTTTTTTAGTTATATGGCTGCATTAGGTGTCATGGATTGGTGTGCCCGTGGTTTGCTCCCCTTTTCTGCTGACTGGGTAGATGCCAATTTGGGCTCTGTTCGGCTGTCTGGAAAAACGGCCGATGCTGATGCTGATGCTGATTTATTGTGAGAGAAAAACACTGTTATTTTGCTGAAAAGTTACGACTGATTTGTTGGATTCCTTTTACCTTAGTGATCCTGTGTGTACTGGTATCAGTTACTTGGAGCCCTGTAGGGATTACAAGACCCAGGTAAATATAGCTTGTACATAAGGCTTGAGAGCTAAAATTTTAAAAGATGTATTAGATGACTTAGACTTGGAGGCAAAGTCAGACTTGATTTATGTCCATAACTAAAAAGGTGTATTGCCCATACAATGAAGCAGATTTATGTAAATACTAATCTTTCAAGTTTCTTTCCTTTTTTCCTTTGTAACCTTCAGGTTTCAGCATATGTGTGGGGGTTCAATAACTTTAACTTTAACAAAACATCAAAACAGAGCAGCTAGCTTTACTAGAGCTGCAATATGAGAGCTAGGAGTGTTTAATGTAGATACATAAGTTATAAAAAAGAGACTCTGGATCTCAGCAGCAGTCTAGAAAGAGAGAACCTAAACAGAGGAGTACAAAATGAAAGGTGATGAAGAGATTGCTGGTTGGGGGCAGCCCACCTCTTATTATATAGAGGCTATATATTACACTTCCCAACATACCCCTAGATATTTTGCTGAACCACTTAACCTCATGGGTGTAATGGTCCAACTTGAGATAGAAACATCCGACGGCCACATGCCCTTCATGACTTCCTTCATGACTTAGTTTGACGCCACATGCTGCCTCGAGCATATGGCAGCTCCCCTAGAACTGAATGACGCCATACACCCCCATTGCTGTGGTTATGCTGTCTGTAGTCATATGGCAGCTACTGTAGCACCTGGAACTGGAACTAGAGTAAGTACAACATACACCCTCATTGCTGTGGTTACTCTCTTGTATGTAGTCTTAAATAAGCAATAAAATAGATTGACAGTGTAAGATTAATTATTTTAGAATATTCATCTTGAAAAGTACTTTCATAATATGCATATTTTTTTATTTTAAATATCCACCATGATTCCGTAGTATCAGCCAATGGCTTATACTTCAGCATCAGCCCTCACATATATAAAAGCTTTTATGTGCTTTCCTGTCATTATATATTAGAAGCTTATTAATATTAGGCAATGTGTTTGTGAGGTTGAATGTTTGGAGTGATTCTGTTACCCATTTTTTCAGTTGATGGCTAATCGTAGACGATCTTGAAGAGGAAACGAGGTGTGACAGCTGTTGTAATGAGGTGGTGGTTAGTGAGGGGTGATAATATGCCATTTTGTCAGATCTTTCATAGTTTCAGATCTAGCTGTAGGGAACCAGATGATATCATTTCCTCCTTCTTTTTTCTTCAAACGCAACAATGCATAGTTGATTTTTTCCAAAATGACACCACGGTTTTGAAAGATTAATGTGCGCAAAATACTTCCATATTTATGATGCCCAGCAAAATGCATTGCAAATTGGCTGGGTGCAAATGAACTTCATGCTATCAGCATGTGTTCCACTGTTCCTGGAAGTACCAGTGTGGGTCTTCAAGGTTGAACCGTTGAACCGATGAATATTTTGATTGTAACCATAAGGATATGGTGGATGGTGGATTGGTGTACGGATTATTTGTCGCAATCTGTCTCTTAAATGGTTTCAGATCCACTTATTTGCTTGTCATATTTTGAGCAACGAATGCCTTGTGGCTATAGTATGCTTGCTTCTGAATTGTGAATGGTATCAGATGCTGTTACTGGTGCTAGTGAGCCGGGGTTGTCAGTTACACCCAGTTGATGCCTTGTTCTTTTTTCTTTTTAATTTTAATAATCAAACTGTCATGCGGCATGCCTCTGCTATTATGCCGCCGCTTGTTGGGATTGTGTAGAGTATTTAATACTCTTCATAATACCACAAGTATTCTTATAATCCCTTGTTTTGGAACTAGACACGAAATTTGAGTTGATGCGACGGACTCGAAGCGTTCTCATCTTTCCTTGCCGCACCTGCCGCTCTATAGCGTGTCCAAATTTCATTACTCCAGCCAGCTGGAAAGTCGGAGAGTTTAACAGTGGAATGTTGCTGCTGTATAATGTTAGGGTAGTCATAGGAAAAACACAGGATTCAATAATCCTGAGGACTTTGTACTGTAGACGCCTTTGGTTCATAGGAAAGCAGCGTAGGAAATCCAAAGGAATACTGTAGATACCCTATGGTTTCACAGGAATTTTACGGGAAAGAAACATGTACTCAAACCTCATTCTTTTGCTGGCTTGCGCGTAGGAACGATGCAAAGGACTGGCAAGTTTGTTGATGTATACTGCTGGTGCACGTGTACCCAGGGAGGGATTAGTTAACTAAAATCAATGCATTGGGGATCTTCTATTCCTGTGAATTTCCTATACCCATCCAAAGACCAATACTGTAAACTTTCCTATGTTTTTCATTCCTATGTTTTGCAGTAGCATTCCTGTGGAATTCCTATGCTTTTCCTATTCCTGTGTTCTTGCGTTCCTGTGTTCTAAAGAGGGCCTTAATGAAAATCGAGCAAAGTACATTGGTGTTGTTGCACACGTCATCACCCCTATCTCAAACCCTTGCATTATAGCAACACCGTTGGCACAACGCCCGCAGCTTCCCGCCGGTGACGGCGAGCTCGAAGTAGCACTCGAGCGCCTCGAACGCGGCGAGGCAGGCCTGGTCGCCCGCGTCGTGCTAGTGCGCCCCCACCGCTGCCCTCAGCGCGCCGTATCCCGTCGGCGCCGCTCAGCCAGCGCGGCGCGAGCCAGCGCGAAGAGCGCCACTGCCCACTCCGTCACGGCGTCAGCGACGTGTGCCCCTGGCCCTGCGCCTTAGCCGCCGCCGCCGCCGCCTTCTTCTTGCCGCTCTCGTCCCGCGCCACGCGAAGCGGAGCTTCTGCTGGCTCGGCCCGGCCATCATCTTCGACGCGTAGACGACGCGGAGGTACGCGCGGAGCGCGGCGGCGGCCTCCGCGGCGCTGGCCCTGGCGCTCTCCGACGCGAGCACGACGTGCGCGCGGGCGTGCATCAGGACGCGAGTCCGCGTCCCTCTCGGCCGCCGAGGTGTCCCCCACGAAGCGCAGCGCCTTCTCGCCCGGGAAGGACAGAATCGGCATCGGCGCCGGGACGCGCCTTGGCGAGTCGGAACAGCGAGTGCATGCGCGGGGAGGTTCACCAACGCGTCCGTGGCGAGAAGTTCGGCGGCGTTTGGGACTACTATGCTTCTAGCTGATCGAGAGGGAAGAGTACTAATAAAGGAAAGAGCAATATATGGCCGGTCAATTTATGGTGGTGTGTGTTATCTTCGGTCCCTAAACTTATAAAATATATTATTTCAGTCCTTAAATTTTGTTTAGGTCTTATATTTATCAAACGGGTATAACCCACGTGTCAGTTCTATCACCATCTCCCACCTCTCTCATGGCCATGGCTAGCTTGTCCACGTGCTAGAGCGCCGCTGTTTGGCTTGTGTGGCTGTGGCGGCGGTGGCGGCTTACCTGCACGGCTGCACGTCAGCGCTCGGCGGTAGCGGCTGATTGCTCGCGTGTCTCTGCGCCGCCTACGGTGACTTCTCTCCTGCGCGGCCGCGGCTCTGTGCCTGTGCGCGGCGACGGCATCTCGCCTGTGCACACGTGCGCGTGCCTCTCCGGCATCTCGCATCACACAATCGCATCAGGAGCCGACGGCGCAGAACGGCGGAAGGAAGGGGAAGGAACCGGCGGCGGCTGCACCCTCCCCCCTCGGCGAGCCTCGCGGGGCATGACAGCACGCCTCCTCGGCCCTGCGACGCTGCACGAGCGCGCCCTGTGCGCGGCTGTGCTTAGCCCCAGCGGCAGGCACCCGGCCCCGGCGGCGGCGGCGACGCCGCAAGCCCGGCGCCCTGGCAGCCCGCGATGTCCACGGTTCGGGAGCCGGCTCGCCCGCATGCCTGTGCGCTGCCGCGGCTGCTGCTCGCCTGCGCGGCGGCGGCTCGCGCGCGTGCCTATACGCGGCCGCGGCTCGTGCATGTGCCTGTGCGGCTACTGGTGCATGTTGCTCGCTGTGCGGCGGCTCCTCATGCATGCTGCTCGCCCGTGCCCCTGTGGCGGCGATGGCAGCGGCTATTGAGAGGAAGAAGATAATTATTTTGAAAGTAGTCTCGTGAAGTTTATAAATATTTGTGTAATTTATGTTTCTGAGCGATTTTGTTTATAACCCCACTAATCTTTTAATTTAAGCAATTGAGTTTTATTTATTCTCGCGGGCACAAATCTATACCTGTTTGGATGAATATAAAACCCAAACATAGTTTAAGTACTGGAATGCCACAATGTCTAAGTTTGAGAACCAGGATAGCACAACCACACAAGTTTGAGGACCGGTCATGAACTTTACTCTTGTTTTCTCTTATTACTTCATAGCATTGCATAGTTTCTTACACGTCCATGACGAGATAAATATTGTTGCATATGCGAAGCTGCCCTCATGGATTCATTAGAATTAAGGGAAATTTTAGAATGGTTGGAAAAAATGATAGTCGTCGATCGCAAGAAATCTAACAGTGTGCCTTGAAATACCTAAAGAGAAGTATCAAGGAGTACCAAATTGGTGGGACTAAGTACTAAAAATAGTCCTTTAATTTAATTTTTAATTGTTTTCAGATGAGAGGTGGACAAAAATCAGAGGCAAAAGTACCAACAACTATCGGTGGGTATTTTTTGTTGACACGAAAAATTGAATCAACCGCGCGCTGCACACGAAGGCCGGGAGATCTACTTAACACCAGTACAGGTCCTAAGCATCTTGAGGTTCGGGGGCATGCCGGTCAGTTTGACCATTCAATTGACAAGGTGTGCGACGACGTTGTATCGGCCAGTTAATAGAACCACGATGCTGCGCCGATACAGCACTTGGGCAAATAAGATGTATTATGGCTTGTCGTCTGGATGATATAGTATTGAAGTGCAATGAGCCGACGGCCGATGCCCGATGCAATATGAAACAACAGCCATAAAAAGGAGCTCTTGCCAACCATGTGCACACCAGATAAACTAACATATCTAGTCAATGTCATGATAAGTGTATTGAACTTAGACAAGGCAACACAATGAGAGGGCATTAACATCAAATTGCTAATTTAAAAAATTAGAACACAGTGATAAGAACCTCTTGCCTACCACTTACAAGCTGACTAAGCTAATGGATCTAATCAGTGTCATGATAAGTGTATTGAACTTAGACAAGGCAACACGAATTAGAGGACATCGACTTCGACCCACTAACTTAACAGACTAGTTCGTAGTAGCAAGGCCTCGCAATCTCGACCATCAGCTCAATGACGTCATCTCGCTGCCAAGAGATGTGGATAAGACCCAACCGAAGCATCGGCTCTCATAGGTAGCGTTTTGACGTTAAAGATCCGAGGGTTAGCAATACGAGGGGCCAAGAATAAGAAACTACCGGCTATTGAAGCATGCTCTGTTAATCCCTTAATAATATGGCAATTAAAGCAATATAATAGATCTAAAAGATAAGTTAGCTGATAGATCTTAATCAAGGCAAGATAACTGATAGGTAGACCTAGATGAAATCACGCCTGGTAATTAAAGCCTAGAACACCTGGTAATGGCGACGCTTGCAGGCGAACCGGAGATCGATGCGATGCAGCCACGTTCGTCGAAGAATTAGCCGGTAGAGACGGGTCTTAGAGCTTGCCGGAGATCAAAGTCGATGCAGCCCCACTTGCTAGAAGCTCGCCGAGAAGCTATATTGTTGCTAGGCCGAAAGAGATAAATGTGTTTGTGTATTGATCGAGAGATAACCCTTTACAAGCTCTACGGGTACATATTTATACTCTTAAACTACTAGAGTCTGAACCAAACTTGACTCGCTAACTATAGAAATCTTAACTAAATAAAGAAAATATTAAGATACATGGACTCTATTTTCCTTTACGTAGCATCCTCGCTGATGAAGCTTCATTTTCCTTAAATCCGTGTCGGCCAAGGTTGAATGCGGCCACAGCTTTTCCATTGACTTTAAATAATCCGGCCAAGGTGCTCATCGCATTAGATAATGAAGATCCTTTCTCTTCAATGCATCAGGCTTATTCCTTTTTTTTCTTCACGTGTGATCTCACGTACATGCATGCAAGTCTTCTCAAATCTCCTGAGCTTATTATCCCTTCACACGTGAATTGGCTGACAATTATTTCAATTAAGCTGATACATTTTCTTACTCTGGATTTTGGCCAAAATCCAGTGTCAACATTTTTAAACCATTGTAAAAAGCTCTATAATTATATCATAATTTGCTATAATTATGAACTATAAACTTTTAAGCGAAGACTGTTCTGTGCGACCTGTGATTCCAGTGGGAATCTCTGTTGACAGAGGCCAATGTGCTCAGAGTCGGAGGCCACAACACAACCTCTGCCGGTAGGAACAATGTGTTTGGCCTTCTTCAAGTCTTATTTGTGTGAATTATTTCTTGATGGTTGCATTTGGCCAAGTCTTCTCTAATAACTTTGATATTAGATTGCCTAAAAAATTAACAGATCTTTTTCTAGTACTATGTATGGTGTAAAACTGATGTGAGGCAACCATGCTAGAAGCTCTGGTAAATCTGTACTCATAAGATTGATGGGTATTGGTAAAGGGAGATATAATATGAAAATAACATAGATGAGAGCTCAAAATTAGTAATAAGGGACTATTTACTTTAAAGAAAACAAAAAGTGTGGACAAACATACCTACGAAACTATTTTGGCATGTGAATATTGCTGTGAGGTGTTTTGAGGAATAGATTCGGTGGCTTACAACGTTGAGGTATTAGCATAATTTCCTTTGTGCTTTATAAGGGCCAATTTGTAGGATTTTTGTGATTGGTTGAAGTTGTGAGTTACGGTATAATCCCACACGAACCCTAGGAAACTATTTTTGCCAATAGGAGCAATATTCTCAAACTAAACTAACCAGCTGAGCTACATTCAATTCAAAAAAAGAAGAGTATTTTTGTGGGATAAAATAATTCTAAAAGAACACCTATTTTGGGATTTTCGGAAAGGGGGGTATATATTATTTTCTTTCTAACTTCCTCTATACTCCATCCATCCGTTTCAAATTCTAAGTCGTTTTAGTTTTGTTCTAAATTAGACCTTTTTAGCATTGACTAAGGTTATAGAAAATGTATAATTATTGACTATATCAAACTAATTCCCTAGACAGATCATGAAATATATTTTCATAGTGCATTTAATTGATATTATATGTGTTAATATATTTTTTCATAAAATTGATTAAAATTAGACAAATTTGATTTGGGTAAAGGCAAAACAACCTATAATTTAGAATGGGGGTCGGTGGAGTAGCATTAAAAATACAGTTTTCCTGTTTTAAAGATAAATGTATTGGAATCTCAAAAATACTCGGCAGAAAGCATATGTACTTTTGCTTTGAGAACTATTTTAGCCGAAAGGTAAATTATTTCTTTCCTTTCTTTTCCTCTGAAGAAGTGCGAGTTGGTGATTCTTTATTGGGCTGCAATGCGAGGGTACCGTCTTGCTTGGACTGGGCTACTGGACTGGTCCATTCCGAAACATGGCCTCGCAAAGTTGGGCCATCTTCTTAATCGTGTGCCTAATATAGTAATATTGGACAGCATATTAAAGGGAAAAAACTATGCCTGTTTTTCTTTTCCTTGTCACTGTTGACCGATGAAAAAAATAATTTTAGAATACATAACTATGTACGTGGAAGTCTGATTAGACAAAAAAAATAGGCTACTCAACATTCTATATTTGCTTAAATATTGTTTACGCGATGTTCTGCCCTGTTCGCTTGGCTGATAAGCTATGACTAAAAGTACTGTTAGCTGATTTGTTGTGAGAGAAAAATAATGTTCGTTGGCTGAAAAAATATGACTTATAAACCAAGCGAACATGGCGTTATCGATCGTGGCTGCCTGGCTGGTGTAACGACGAGTTTTTAGACATGGATGTATTCATAAGTGGGTTGGGCTTGCCCAGTAGAGAAGTTTTCGGATCCGATTGCTCTCTGTTCGCGGTCCACGAGTTTGGTTTGGATAAGAAGGTCGGTGGGCCTCCTTCTAAATAAAAACTTGAAAGTCCCTCCTTCTAAATAAAAACATGAAAGGCCCTCTCCGTTGGTCACGAATCACGCTAGTCCATTGGTCACGAATCACGCTAGCCTAAAAAATCCCCAAATCCCCACTTCCCCAACGACCTTGGCGAGCGAAGAAATCCCCAAATCCCCACTGCTTAGCCCTAGCACGAGCGGCGACGGCGCGAGAAAATCCCCAAATCCACCACATAACCGCCGAAGACCTATCCCCGAATCGACGAATCCTTGCGGCGGCTCCACCATGGCTGCCTTGTGCATCGGAGATTCCGTGAATTCGTTCTCTCGCCGGAGCAGGCTCACCTGTTACCACGGGGAAGAGGATAAGTGGCCTCCCCACAACGAAGCCATTCTCAGGGACGGCAAGGTGATGGTGGTGTCCATGGAGAAGTTCTACGTGGAGGCGGCTCGCCGGCTTCCCCTCGACAAAATTCCGGAGCTCTTCAACTGCATCTGCAAGGCCGGCCACTGCATCGGCCTCGCCGACCCTGTTAGCAACATCATCCTCAACGCCATCAGCCAGCTCTCCTCGCCCTCCCCCTCCGGAGGGGCGCACTCACCTTCACCTCCGCGCAAGAGGAGGCACAGGACTAGTGCCCCCGGCAGGTGGCAGTGGGAGGTCTCGCCTATGCCTCCAACTTCGGCCTCTTCGCCTTCATGGCTGAATACTTACCTCACCGAGATCCAAGCCAGGCGCTACCTCCACGCGGCCTCTTATGACCTCTCCCTGGCCATCAAGCTTGTACTCCACGAGCGTTCCTCTTCCAAGTCACAGCGATGCTTGCTCCCGGATGGTGGCAAGATCAAGGCCGCCCTCAGAATCGCTGCTCTCCAAGCAGGGCACCCTGCAGCCGACGACCTGGCGGGGCTCGTGACGGCGCAGTACCCCCGTGGCCTTCTCTCTCACAATGTGCACAAGCTGCAGGGACATGGGCTGCTTAGAGGAACCACAATGTGCTCCAAAAGTAGTTCATAGAGACTAAATTATTCTATATAGACCACCTGAAACATTGTGAAACTAGCCATAGAGTAGTCTATAACAAAAGCTATCCACAAGCCTATAGACCACCCATAAGCAATAAAAAAATATTACTCTCTCTCCATCTCTCTTTCTTGATCCCTGCCATCTATAGACTATTTGAACATTTTACATTGTAGCAACAGAAATAGTTATGGATTACTGGGAACCCTCCCATATAGACTACTTGGTCTAAATACACTGTGGTTGCTCTTAGCCTAGGGGATGTCTGGGCCACCAGGGACCTGCTAAAAAGCCAATGGCCTCCAACCCCCTTACCCAACTTAGATATCTTATGCCATCCAAATGGCAACACTTCTGTTCAGAGCACCGTTGACAGCGTGTTGCTCCTGCTCTCATCGTGCATTGGCGATGACCTTTGTGCCCAAATCTCCATGGCAAGCAGACGCCACTTAGATTCTCTTCAACTGGGATACATGTCTGACCTGACATTTGATAGTCCATACATGGAGACCAAGTTATCCAACTTCCTGGTGGCCGCCGCCAGGATGCGCAGTTGCAGGTTGTACTCAACCGTGGATTATGATGGCATCAAATGTGAGCACATACTGTCTTTGAAGATGTGCCTTCTTGACTCCATCCATGCCTTATACATCAAGGCGCTCACCATAGTACCCATCAGCTCTGGAGACTTCCGCTTCCTTCGAGCTCTCCTTATAGCTGGACATTGCTATGGCCCCATGGACCCGGTGTCCAACATCATCCTCAATTCTCTATCTGGTATGATATCGCCTTCCCCCTGCGTGAGGAGCATATTGAAGCACATCATGTCCCGCTGGGAGACCCGTTCCCTCAATGGCCTTGTTGCTCTCTTTCGCACCTCCCACAGCTCCTCTCTCTCAGAGCACGAGATACTGGAGCACCTGTACTTTTGGAACTGTGACCTCTCCAGATTGTGCAAAGAAGTAGCACGTGACAGCATTCCCTTTGCTGACGTGGCCAAGGCTGCCAAGCACCCGTAGTACTTCGCCTTCGGATCATTCCTCATGTCTTTGTCCCGTGTGAAGCTCACCCACCTGTGTTCCTTTCTGGTAGACCCAGTTGGTGGGAGGATCTCCCATGCTCATTGGATCATTCTAAGAGAGACCATCCATGACATGGGCGGACCTAGGATTTTAGAGCACGGTATGCGCATGGCAAGATAATATTTGGATGAACAACACAAAAAGTTCAGATGAGCTTAAATAAAAGATACATATAGTTCAAACTAAATTTGTTCCATAATTAGTTGAGATTACAAAATATTGGAAGAAAATTACAATTAAATTTTAACTCTTCGATCCCTCGTTGCTTGATAGCGATTGATGATGTCATGATCTTTGACTTGCAAAAAGAACTCACGCTCAATAAATGTGACCAAACAATCATTCAAGTACTGGTCTCCCATTCTATTTCTCAACTTGTTCTTCACATAATTCATTATTGAAAACACTCTTTCTACGGTAGCAGTTGCTACAGGTAGCACTAGGACCAATTTGAGAAGTCTGTACACAAGATCATGTTTGGTGTGCTTATTTGCTGAAACAAGCATGACAGAAAGCTCAGCAAGGCTGTTCACTTGTTTAAATCTTTCATCTTCACGCATATCAGTAATAAAGAGTTGAAGCTGACAAGGGAGATGGTTTAACTCTAGTCTTGAGAAATCATTGGGATAAAATTGAGCTAGCTTAACCAAACTTGCTTTGTCAAAAGCTGCAAATGAATTAACAGGATTGAATGCTGACATGCAGATAAGCAAATCTGTGTTTACCTCATCGAACCTGTCATTCAGCTCTTGAAGTTGTCTATCAATAACACTTAAGAACATGTCCACATGATAACGGTGCATATTCTTGATTTTCACATAGAACCTCCTGTCTCTTCCAACATGCCTATAGAAATTGTCCATGTTAGGAATTTTGACCTTATGCTTGTTACAAAAAGAATGGATGTCTTTTAGAAACTCATCCCATCCATCATCCTTCCTTATTTGCTGCAGCAGAATCTTTGTCAGATAAATAAGATCTACTGCATTAACAATATCTTGATCCCTCTTTTGCAAAGCATGATTCAAATCAGCCGTGTACCCAAGTACATTTTGCATCAAGTGCGCCATGAAAACAAACTCAAATGAATCAAAGATTGTCAACATTGTTTGTGCTTGGTTATACTACGTTCGTTGAGTTCTATCTGTGCCAACCTTTTTGATAACTTTCCTAATTGAAGGATACATAGAGAGAACACGCATAACAGTTTTGTAGTGAGACCCCCAACGAGTATCACCTAGCCTACATAGACTCATCTCTTGATTCTGGCCCTTTCCAGATTCAATGACATCCAACTCTAGTTCTTCTACAATTCTTTGTGCTTGTTCTACTCGTAGCATTTGTGTCTTCTTACAAGAATTACCAATAAGATTCAACAAGAACTTAAGCTGATCAAAAAACCAATCACAATCTAGGTTGTCCTTAGCAACAGCCACTAGAGTTAACTGAAGCTGATGTGCAAAGCAGTGTACATAATAAGCTGAGGGGCATTCATCCATAATTAGTTTCTTTAAACCATTGGCATGACCCTTTATGTTGCTAGCTCCATCATAACCTTGCCCACGTATCATAGACAAACTTAGTGCTCCATAAGCAAGGACTGAATTGCATCTTTAAGTGTCAAAGAGGTAGTGTTTTCAACATGGACAACCCCAAGAACCCTCTCAACTACCTTTCCCTTTTTGTCAACATAGCGCAAACAAAGAGCCAATTGTTCTTTGTCATACACATCACTAGATTCATCAGCTAGTATTGCAAAGTAGTCACTACCAAGGTCTTCCATGATAAGCTTTGTAGTTTCTTTGGCACAACTATTGATGATATCTTTTTGAATTTTGGGAGCAGTCAATGTATAATTCTTTGGAGCACTCTTCAAAACTACCTTAGCAACTTCTTCAAAGTTTTCTGCTAACCAATTTAGTAGTTCAAGGAAATTCCCTTTATTAAGTGAATCTTCACTTTCATCATGTCCACGACAAGCCAAACCTTGACGCAAAAGAAATTTCAAGCATTTAAGTGAATAGGTCAACCGTGACTTGTACTCACATTTCTCTTTTTGGGTGGTGGAAACAAAGTTCTCAACTATTGTTGTTTTAGGCCTCAAAAAGGAATTGTATTTCTCTAGAGCCATATTGTGATAACTATCCACAGCCCCACAATGTCTCTCAATCCTCTTTTTTAAATGCCAATTTCTAAATCCTCCACTCACAAAAGCATCTCCACTAGAACAATTTGTTTTATGCTTGAATAAAAAGCACACAAAACAGAAAGCAGCATCTAATTCCACACTATATTCAAGCCAACTAAATTCATCAAACCACCAAGCAACAAAGCGTCTAGGTTTACCTCCAATATCCCTGATAGGAAAATCATGGCTACGTGGTTGACAAGGCCCCAATGCAATATATCCCTTGATCACCGAGTTTTTTTCATTGACAGGATACCTTCTGATGGGTCTCCTCTTTCCAGGGTCATGATGTAGGGAGTCAATATCATAAACCACTAGTAATTTATATCTCAACACCTGGCCTGTGCTAATGTTATTATTCTCTTCATTTCATGTTTTCAGTGTATGCTTGTGGTTTTAGTTGTTGCTACCTTGATGTAATTGTTGTATTTTTATGTTCTTGTTGGAACACTTTCTCAAGGTTTTTAAGGCGGTAAAGCGAGGCGAGGCGACCAACTACCGCCTTATGCTAAAGCGAGTAAGGCGTAAGGCGAGGCGACGCCTTACGGCCATCCAACAGTAGTATAGACTAGAGAACTGGAAGCATGTCATACCTTGGTGTTATCCTCTCCTGTGCAGCCCGCAGCCCCAAGTGTGCATCCAACAATACACTGCAATGGAGAGACAATTCATGTTAGTACCTAGGTATTTCATAGAAAAATACAGAGCAGGAGCAGAGTACCTGGCTCGAGGGAAGACTGGAGGAGGCGGCTCGGGTCCTGCCCCGCTCGAGGGAAGACTGGAGGCTGCGGCTCGGGTCCCCCCCGCCGAGGGAAGACCGGAGGAGGCGGCTCGGGTCCTGCTCTGCTCGATGTTCACCAGAGGAGGCGGTGGGGAAGCAGCAGATCAGTGGCTGCTGCCTCGTGGGTGGGGAAGAGGGAAGGAGAGGCGGGCGGCTCGTGTCTGCTCAATGGAGGACCGGAAGAGGCGGGGGGAAGCAGCATAGCTTATTCTTGATGATATTGCATGATCTCAACTCTTTACATCCCGCCGGCTGCTGCTCCTCGCATGGATGGGGAACAGGGAGGGGAGGCGGAGCCTCGGCGGCGGCAGCTTCTATCGGGTGGCTGCCGGGCGAAAGCAGCGTTCAGCTGGGCGGCAGGTAGGTCCGTCTCTTCCTGAGCGCTCCTCTCTCGCCTCGATTTCTCCTGCGCTCCTCTCTCTTCGCGCCTAATCTCTCTGCAGCGATGCTTTCCAGCTACCTGCACTTTCCCCCTCCTTTCTCCCGCGCCCGCGTTTTCCTACCGTGGCCATCCCCGTATGGCGCCCGCCTTGCTCGATTTCGATGAATCGGACGCCAAATCGACGACTTCCGGACGCCATGGTAGTAAGGCGGACGCCATACCAATCTGAGGCGAGTCGTCCGCCAAGTCGTCCCGCCTGTAGCGCCTTGCCGATTAGGCGACGCCAAAGCGACGTCTTAAAAACATTGCACTTTCTAGTCTTAGACTACTCCAAGTCTCTAAGTTACTCTACTCAACTTTATGACCCGAGTACTTGATAACTGTGCTTCTGCCAGAATGATGAAGTATTGTCAACATTTGTGCTTGCTGCAGGAACCTAATTATCAGCTTGACATCATCTGCGGCGTGCATATGGAATCCAGATCACATACCCCTCCAAGATTCTATCATGCCAATTTTTTGGCGAGTGCAGTTGCAGCCAATGGTGATATCATACAATCCCGTGAGCGCACACTCTTCTTTGCTGAATTCTGGGAGTTACATTGGGATCCCAGGCCTTCCAGCTCCATCTGGTACCCTCACTGGCGGAGCCAGGGGGGGCTGGCAGGGCCATGGCCCCCCAATGTTTGACAACAAAAAAAATTAGTAGTATAACTTAATATTTTTTATTTATATTAAGAGGAAGATTATATAAAATTCTTGTTATATATACCTATTAATATCTTCTAGATAATATAATCATACAAAACACAACTAGATAATAAAATTATCGCAATGAAAAAGACCGAGCCGGCCCCCCCTAAGTATAATTTCTGACGGCCGGCCCCCCTGACTATAAATCCTGGCTCCGCCACTGGGTACCCTGGATATGCTTACCATGGATGTGTCCCGTACGGCTTTGCCTCCAGCTGCTGCCCAGTATATGATTACCATGCATGCATTGGTGAGCCCTCATTCGTACAACAAAAAATCCTCAATGTAGTAACTGTGTTTCATATCATTGTATGGTAAACATCCACTTGGGATTACTAACATGGATAGGAACAACTCGGATGAGCCATGTACATCATGTATGATTTCCCTTGTGCCTAGGATAAGAACATGCTAGAAATATTAGCAACAAGTAGCAAAGCTCAGTAGTATATTTTCTCTACATCATTATTGCTATGCTGTGGTTCTGAATCCAAATTACCAAAATCACCATATTTCTACCATATAAAATTAAGGTATGCAGCATGACAGTGTCAATTCCATAGCTACCTCTTGATCAATGGCATTAGGCATGGTGTTGCCAAGGACAAAGCACAAATGCAAAGGCTTAGAGCTTAGCCTTTGACCTTCGAAACTACCATATATTTTATATTTAGAACACGCCTTAGAGTTAATATATAATGGTATTCCCTCGGTCAATCAATGCAATGCATATTTTAATTCAAATAAAGTCAAACAATACAAGTTTTGACCAACAATTGATCAAACTGTAGGCATGTTTAATTTACAATAGTTGCAAACATGGATTTCACATTCAAAATGCTTTTAAGTTAATGTTGATTTCATAGAAAATGGCAAAGCAATGGTCAGAGTCTATTCCTGAAGAGACTCATACCAGAATATGTCTTGTGTTGATGGACAGTAGTATACAGGACTAGGGGCCTTAAGAGCTTTCTGTATACCTCAAAACATAACTTTTCATAATTCATGTTGAAGTATCGATTTTGTAGTTGGTGAAGAAAATTTTCCTATCAAAACTTTATTATTATTATTATTAATTATTATTTCCCTCTTGGGCAGGTCGATGCTACGATTGTGAGGTTGCATTAAGCAAGATTGTGCATCCACCATCCGGAAGCCATTCTGGGAACAAAGTTATTCGCTCGATTGAACAGTGCCAGAGCTTGTTTGACTATGCTATCCGCAAGGTGGACAATGGTGGTTTTGAACGTTTGCTGTATTCAGATTATATTTACTTCGATCCGGACAGGGATGTTAAACTTGGGAAGACTGTGAATGACATTTGGGAGCAGGAGACCGAGTCCATGGGTTTTTTTCAACCGCCTAATTGTTAAGACCCAACTAATAACGAAGTGTAGGATATTCTATTTATGGATTTGTCAGCTTGTATATGTAATATATTAATAATCCCGTACTAGTTTGTTAGATGAGGGTGCTGCTGGGTTTTAAGTTAAACACTGATTATTATCTACTAATATATCTATGGAGGAGAACTGTTTCTGCATGTTGGATTTACATGTGTTATGCGATTATGTCTTCGTTAGATGAGAGTGCTGCTGGGTTTTAAGTTAATTACTGATTATTATCCACTAATATATCTATGGAGGACTGTATTTCTAAATGTTGGATTTACTTGTGTTCTGCGATTATGTCGTGTTTCCAATATATCAATAGAGAAGAACCATATTTCTGAATGTAATAGTGTTCCATGAAATGTCATGACTCGTTTCTTGTGGTTAGAAGAACTCAAGAGCCTTACGTATAATACTGTTGCTTGTGGTTAGAAGTCGTCAATAGCTTAAGTATGATTCTGTTGCTAAGTTGGCCTATAGTATAGTATATCTGCCTAGAGTATGGGCGCGAGAGTATTTATGCAACCTTTGCAATGGAAGATTATTTTGTCCTGTTGCTCTTAAGGTGAAGGATATATCAAGTTAGTAGATTGCTCTGGAACATGACATCGATGGCGTTTTCAAGCCTGTTTAGTGTTTACTTGATACTTGATGCAGGGTGATGGTTTAATTTGCCCGGATCGCGGTGCCTACGTCAAGATTTTTTGAAAAAAAAAGGGAAACGCACATATTTCAGGGGATATAGTCATATAGGCATATAGCGCGTCAATGGTCATTCTAGCCCATACGTTAGCCACTTTCCATCGTACAAGATTTGAGTCCGTTCCAGGGCCATTTTGGCCCCTGAATCCTAGTCATAATATAAGATGAAACATGAAAGATGATTAAGATGGCACTTCTATTCGATCATCATTCCTAGCATTAATCAGATCAGACACTAATAGAACTAACGCGAATAAATGGCAAGAGCCTCGAAAAAAATCCAAGGCAAGTGCGCCCCCACCTGACCATCCAAGTAACCGTTAGGATATCGCTTGTATAATGTATTAGGGATAACCAATACAGGACGTTCGCTCGATCTTCAGCAACATTGGGTTCATTCCAACCCAAACTACCTCTCCAGAAAGCGACTCTTTGCTTCCTCAGCACAGATGTGCATTTTAGCAGAAGCAGAACCCCTGTACTGCTGTACAGAACGAAGTGTGATATATAATGATGAAAGTTGAGCCGTTCAGCATGGATGGTCATCCCAGCTTCCTGCAAAACTAACAAGCCATTATTAGTTCAAAACATTATGCAGAAACAATATAAATACTAGCGCATCAGATATTATTGACGACATGCAATTTTACAGAAACATGTAGCATATACAACTCATAAACCCATGTTGAGCTTCTCTTAATCACAAGAAAACAAAGCAATTTCATCAATAGGAAAACGCAAGGGAAACAATGCCTTGAAAGTAAATAGTATTATGTCTACAAATTAATTAGGCATTGTAAGAGATGCACCGTATTCACGTTCCTGATCTTTATCATACTCTTAGCTATCTTTATCATACTCTTAGCTATATCTACCAACAGCTGTTCTGTATTTGGTAAGAATTTTCCTAATATCCTGTCCTGCACAAAAAAAACATATTATTATTGCGTAAATCCTTATGTAAAACATAATAAGGACAACTGGAGTCCTGCAGCCTACAGGCACATCCGTGCATCTCATCCAGAAGAAACAGTGTAAAAGAACATGAGCTGATTAGGTGAGCAAATAAACTGAAAAAGTGAACGATCTAATTGAACCAAAATATTATCAATGCAAATTAGGTGAGGGAATAAATCGTATGCAGGAGGGTCTCAGGTGAGGAACTTCTCCAGGCTATCGGGTCATCTAACTGCTATTTGAATCAGCTTGCGAGGACTCAAGTTGAGACCTTCCAAACAAAAACATTGTACCACATGCTCACATGGTGCAGTTGTTCATTTTCTGTACAAGGCAGCTGTCACTTGAGTAAACAACCAATTCTCTTATATGTGACAACCAAACGGTCATATCAATAGCAAGGATAAACAATGAAGATAGGATTCAAAGTCTTGTAATCATTTTATAGCAAGGATAAACAATGAAGTCTTAAAGGATTCAAAAAAAAAAGATTGTAGAAATTCAAAGTCTTGCAAATATAAAATTTTTAGCCTAAATATGCGAAAGTGCTACAATGCAAAAATGGAAAATTTTTACGCCTAATTCTTTCAAAATACTGTAGTGCCAATTATAGTTCCTTGCATCGCCACATCCACAACAGATCATACAACAAATACCATGCAGCTGAATCCAAAACCACAAAAATAGTGGAGATTCAGCTGCAAATGCAATCATCGGCAGCTTTCTCTGCACTCCTGAAGGGTTGTGGTTGTTATCCTGATGCAGAGAACCACAGTTCAGTTTAATTTCTCAACGAATTCCAGCTACTTTGACTCGAGAGCACAATATCAGAGTACACAAAAGCTAGAGTTTTCTGCACAAGCATTAATGGAACAAACGTACTGTTATTGAGATCAAAACTTTCGTTCTTTGTGGCCTCTTGAAGAATTAATTATTTAGACTTTCTTAGCCAATCATGAAGTCTATCCTGCAGATATCACCAACAAAAAGCAAAGGGTTATAAAAAGCAATATGAGAGGCTAAAAAAGTCAAGTTTTGCACTAAGAAAATCTTGGCTCATAGTATATATAAAAACAAAGAAACTGCACCAAACATGAAATAGATAGGGGGAAATCACAAATCAGATAGACTGCAAATGTGCCACTATAGTAAAATAGTACTACAAATCTTAACGTAAAGAATCATGCATCCCTTCTCCTAACTTCATTTTCAACCACCTTAACCACCCTTTCTTACCTAAATTACCTTCATCCCAAGACCCAAACCGTAAGTGATAAGATAAGAGAACGAAATAAACAACAAGACAACACGGATTTTCTACCCACTCCGTCGAGCGGCAGCGATGTACTGCTCCCACACGTGAAGATGCGTGCAACAGATGCCGATTAGCTGACGTGGTAGTGCTTAAATAAATAATAAAAGGACCGTAACTAACGCAACTGATGAACAACCGGGTCAACGTCAACAAACCAGAACCAGTACTGATGTTCACACTTATGTCGTTCAGAACCAACAGCTGTCGATGCTTATCTCTGCTAAAAAAAAACCAAAAATCGGATGATTTTTTGGTGTTACCACAGGGGTCACCAAAAATCGGATGATCTTGCACCGTGCGATCGGTGTCCTCGGCGTGCGAGCCATCTCCGCGCTCCGAAACAGACGCGACATGTCGCTCACCCTGCGCCGCGGCTCGCCCTCCTCCTCCCCTCGCTCGCCCTCCGCCGCGGCTCGCCCCATTGGAGAGGTCGAGTTCGGCGAGGTACGGGCAGGCCCCGGCGAGCGCGGCGAGGCCCACGGCGCCGAAGCCCCAGGAGCGGGAGTCGGGAGAGGTCGACGGCGCGGAGGGAGGATCCGGAGGAGGGAGAGGTCGAGGCGTGATGCGGACAGGTAGAAGGCGAGCGCGGCGGGGAGGAGGTCGGCGCGGAGCGGCGGAGGAGGCGGCGGTGTCGCGACTCGGCAGCGTGGCAGGCGCGGGAGGCGAGCGCGAAGGACTTGAGCGCGCGCGGGTAGGCTACGGCGACGCGGTCGAGGACGAGGAAGAGGAGCTCGTCGTCGAGGGCGTCGATGGAGGCGGGAGCTGGGGAGAGGTGGCGGCGGCGCTTGGTGTGCCGGTGGGCTGCGTCGGCGGCAGCGGCCATGGGGGGTTCTTGATCCGGATGGGTGGGTGACTGCAGAGGAGGAAGGAGAGGGAGGGAGCAAGGGAATGATGGCCGTCGGCGATGGGCTACGCAACATTGCAACAAGAACACAAGTAGTGGACGATGGACCCGAGGGAGGAGTGAGAGAGCTTCAGAGGAGATATTACAGCTGGCCTGCTGCATGCTCCCCACCCACGCGCGTCGAGGAGCTTCAAGTTCTCTGTCAGTGCTAGCTGCATGGGCGGATGAGTATGACAGTGAACGGCTGAGAATGGAGTAGAGGGCCTCGTTTAGATTACAAATTTTTATAATCTATATATTATAGCATGTTTCGTTTGTATTTGATAAACTTTATTCGATTATAGATTAACTAGGGTCAAAAAATTCGTCTCGTGATTTACAACCAAACTGTGTAATTAGTTTTTTTTTACCTACATTTAATGCTCCATATATGCGTCTAAAAAAATTGATGTGATGGAAAGAGAATAAAAAAACTTAGAACTAGGCCGAGGATAGAAAATATGAGCACGCAAGAGAATAGTCTGATTTCTGATTCTTGCAGACATAAGGTACACATGTACGGAGTATGATTGAACAGTTCAACAACCCAAACAAATGCTCTGTTCGAATGGCTGAAAAGTCATGGTTAAAAATAATGTTAACTGATTTATTGTGAGAGAAAAATATTATTCGTTGGTCGAAAATATACGACTTATAACCAAGCGAACAGAGCCATAACAAATTCGAAATCAAAGGACACCAGGGAGGAAAGGATACCAGCCATACCAAGTTTATTTTACCGAGGCATGCTAATAACAAGATTACTTCACTGGCCATCCCAGGTTTATTTCATAATTGGCCATAATTTATGACAATCAGGTTGTGTCAGTGTGCCTCCAAGAAATCAAACTTTAAATTTTGTGCCTCAAATGAGTGGGCTTTACAATTCACCAATTCCTTCAAAATTCTTGGTCCTTGCTGCTAAGGTAATCTCCAATTAGGCTACAGATACTCATAGATGGGTTTAGATGGCTCGATTCGTAGTTGAAAATTGTTTCCGGAAGACCGATTTCGTGCAGCAGTCTTGTTTTCAAACTTGGTACTAATTGGTCAAAAAATTCAATATTTTGTTGATACAATAGTTATAGGCCATGTCGATATTTTCCTAATATGGTGCTGGTTTTT